TACCGGGAGGACCGTGGAATAAAACGCCGCGAGGAGGAGTGATCTTAAAACGCTGGAAGATTTCCGGGTAGAGTAGCGGCAAAGAAACCATTTCCTTCAACTGGTCAATATGTCCTTGCAAACCACCAACATGGTCAAAATTAACATTCATGTCAACCCCCAGGGGATCCGCATCAGCCAAAGCCTGTTTGTTATTGAACTTGCCAAGGTTTGCAGGTGTTCCAGCCGAGTTCTGACCAGGGTCAGCTGACTGGTTGTGAGTAGCTGCAACACCAAGACCAGGAGCACGATTTGGCTGTTGGGCACCTTCGTCATCACTGCTATCGCTGTCTGCTCCTCCGACTGCAGTAGGGCCACCAGGAACACCGAGAATTGCTGAATTTCCACCACCACCGAATGGGCCCAACGTGGAGAACAAAGTACGCTGCCAGCCTCCACCTGCACGACCACGCCGGGACGGAGAACCTGTAACTTCGTTGTCGGTATCTTCGTTAGGCTGAAGTATTTCGGGTCGGATGATGCGATAATCAACGTCCTTTCGATTGCGACGCGGTTTCTCGTACGCAACCGTTTGTTTCGCACGGCGACGGGCACGTCCAGTGAGGTCTTCCAATTCTTCGGCGAGTTCTTCTGCCTCCTCTGAGGGTGCACGAGTTCGAGAAGGCCGTTGGCGTAGACCAGGGCGCCGACTGGCAGAGCTATCCTCGGCTTCTTCGTGAGCTTGAATTTCTTTGCGAGGAGAAGCTTGCGAATCAGGCTCCGAGTCATCCTCCTCATCATTTGATGGCTCCTCCTCTGGCTCGAAATCACTTTCTTCGTTTTTGCTTTTCCGCTGCGAGCTTCGAGGCGGCTGCTTACGGCTGGATCGGCGTAGCTGCGATTCTTCATTTGTCTCTGCATCCTGCGTGGCACTCTCCTCCTGAGGTTGCTCGTGGGAGAGCCTGCCTCGTCGCCGAGTTGTTGGGAGTTCATCGGTCTGTTCGGAGTGGTCATTCTTCGCATCGCCATTTTCTGATTCGGGGACCACGTCTTCATCTGGCATGTCTTCGTCAATTGCGTCGTGGTCTCCATCATTCACTGGCAATGTATCACCTTCAGCGCCGCCTTGAGGACCATCACTTTCCAGTACCTCCATTTGCGAACCCAGAATAGTCGTTTCGTTGATAACATCCTCGACATCATCTTGTCCTTCGGCGTCTTCATCCTCTTCATCGATAACCGTGCGCTTGGCCATGCGGTCGACTCGGGCAATGCGGCGAGATGGTGATGGAATTTCGGCTTCTGGAGTACGTGTACCTCGTTCAACGGTTTGTACATGACGACCAGAGTTGGTAAGGGCGTAGATATCCTCTGAAGCGTCACGGTTACGGCGGGTTACACGTTTAGAAAAAGCCAAATAGTTGGGCGGAAGTTTCAACTTGATGACGGTGCTCTTGCGTGGAGGATCTCGAGTCTCATTGTCACCATCATCGTTGAGCAGCTCTTCCTCCGAATCTGGTTCCTCATAGTGTGGACGACGGCTCTGGGTGGTTCGTCGACGTGCCGTTCCTCTGACATTGCGTTCAACTTCTTCCCCCTCCGATTCTTCTTCCGTCTCATCGAAGTCGGATTCCTCGGACAGCTCTTCCTCGTCCGATGTGAGACCATCGTCGTCTGAGCCGCGCCGTCTCTTCTTGGGGGCCCGTCGCGACTTTTTCTTGGGGCTGGGCCTCGACTTCCGGCCGGTCGAACGTGAGTAGTGAGCGTGATCGCTATAGTCCTCGTCGTCAGAGTCAGACTTGTTGGCAACCTCGTCCAAAGTACGCTTTGCGCTACGAGCCATGGCGCAGTTTTGCGAGTGATTCAGCGATCACTTTGAACACACAAAGTCAGCATGAAACGCTCCAATTTGAGAATTACAATGAGGATACAGCCAAGTAGGCTAAATTCCCAGATAACAAGGGAGATACAAAGAGGTTAAAAAGGCAGATTGCCAACGTTGCGCGATGCGGGCAGGACAACACTTACGAATGATTCAGTAGTCGCCAGCAACAGCCGGACCACTCGATCGAAAGAAAAAAATTGTTCCGTCACAGCAATAACCTTGGCACTTTTTTCCCGACAATTGCTGTTCAATGTGTTAGCGGAGACGGGTCGGTGGTGGAGCGCAATTGGGACAGAGGTGGAAGGGTCTCACGGACTCGGGAACGCGTGGGAAAACAAATGTGTTGTAAAGCTATCAGCCACCAAGACAAGCGCAGTACACAGGAAGGGTTGTTGAAAGTAAAAGAACGAAGCAAACGATGGGAACTCGAGGAACAAAGACTTCAGGGAAGAAGGGCGGAAAGGACTCGCGCTCATTGGGGCGGACAGCCTGAATGCATCAGCCATTTAGTGTGGCGCACCAATTAGTCAACAAAGCGCACGTGCCACCCTCAATGGGGGGAATTGCTTCAATAGCCATTGTCACCCTTCAGCCCATGAATCAAGTTCCCAATGAATCGAGCTATTGTAGTGCTCCATTCTCCCCTTCAAATAGCTAAATGGATTCTTTCGGCCATTTTGATGCCCTGATACGGCACTTGCAGGGTTGCTGGGGGTGTGAGGGAATGTCATGATACAATGATGACAGGAAGGTGTCAGAAGGCAATTTGGGACATGAAGAAGACGAGAATAGGGCCTTTTGTTTTTTCCTTTGAGTTATCTTTTTTCTGCGACGCCTTTGACCGGACCTGATATCATGTGCCGATGACTCAGCAGTGGCTCGTGCTGCCCTGAAGACATCTGGACAATACTCATCTAATCCAATTCAAGCCAAGAAGGAATATTTTGTCCTCTTTCTAATACAGTTTGTCTTGTTCTGGATCTCATAACTTGATAAATTGACATTATAGTTAATTTTACTTTACTCCTGTTGCACTAGAGTACCTATGAAGCCCATGAAGACTCTCTAATGTATACCTTGGCAAGGCCTCTTGCGTCACCATCATGGCATGAAATAACAATGGTGGGATTCTTCTTTTTCTGAGCAGGTCTTTTTCAAGTAGGAGCGGAGTCCTTTGATTACATGTATATGTGTGTCTATCATATGTGTACCGCTAAATCTTCAACTTTAAGTAAAAAAGTGTCACAGGCATCATTTCACAGGTAGTCATCTACTTCCTACAATTTTTCCTCCATTTAGACCGCTTTGGCACCGACTCAACATGCTCGGTATTCTTTTCGACCTTCTCGTCCCTTAACATGTAAGCGCGCGACAATGTGAGAAGATAAACTCTATCCGAGCACTGGAGAGTCGCTTTCAGCGTGTTTCTAATCCTATTCTTTTATGTTGTAGTGAGCTCACATTCTCGAAAGCTCAAGCAGCATGCGCACCCAGTGGTGTCAGGCTCACATTTCTCATAGTACCCACAGCCACGACCGCAGCAATCACCTCATCCAGCACAATCCTTGATCAGTTCCTTTTGCCTATGCCATGTCGGATCCTTCTGAATGATCTATATGTCAGTTTTATAGGGCCACTGGGAATGCTGCATTGTCAATTTTGGAGCTGCCACTACTGGTGCCAGTATTTCTTCCGGAGCACCTCTTGCTCTGCGTTCAGTTTTTGAAGCCCTGCTTCGTCTTCGTCGGTGTTTCGCACTTTTTGAAGTGCCCGGCCCTTTTTTCTCAGTGATCCCTCATGCTGAGCGAGTTCTCCGACATGGTAGTCAATTTTGACAAGCTTTACGAAAAGATCGAGCTGACAACGAGCTCTGTTACTGCCTTTGCTGTATATGAATTTGGATTGCCCTGCCCACAGGATATGTCCGTGGTTTTTGGTAGCTTCAATCTACAAAGAATCTGATTGACAAGCCATACTGGAGGTAATGGTTTTGGAGATGAAGTGAATGTACAGCAGGTTACCTACCTACCAACCCCTTTGGTCGCTATGCATTATGGAAATATCACATCATTCAGTGGTCAAGCGCCGACACCCAAAAAGATCAGCTCACATAAACACTGGAAGAAACCGAACCTAGATCAAAGAGATGGCTTGCAACCACTTGACGATCGATATAAGCACCCTTTTAATGTTGGAAGAGTCACTCGAGGCCTGGGGTGTAACCGAAGAGCGGATTCTTTCAACCCCATTTCTAACAGAAGTGTGCTGTTCAAAAATAAGCACTCACCATTTATCTCGACTTGTTCCGGGTACAGCCTGTATAATTATATGAGAAAGGCAGCTATGAGAATGGCAGCGAGAGACGATGTGCTAAATTGAAACCTGAGGAATAAACGCCAAGACCGCTATGCCCGAAATGGAACACGAACTTCAAACATCACCCTCGCTCACCTCCTCGGATATCAGAAAGAAGGCAACCTTCTTAACATCACTGAATGTTTTCACAATCGGCTCGTCGGTTGACACCGGCTGTGATGTCTTTTCAATCCGCTCGAGCTCCTATGAGCCGACGCACCTTCACCTCCACACAAGCTATATTCAACCTATCACAGAAGCCAAGTGCATACAAGGAAGGGGTGTGTACTGTTTTCCTTTAATCTGCAGAACTAAAATTCAAAGTTCTTATTATTCATCTAGATGAATCAATATCGAACCTTTACTGGCCCCTTCGCCAAGGTTTTCTTAGGGGGCGTGTTCGTCTATCAAGTCTTTTACTGGACCTGGTTGAAGCTGGAGATGGATGAGACGAAGGTGGCAAAGAATGGTGAGACCAACGAAAATCAAAGCATTACCCTATTATGGATGTTGCTTACCCTTTTCGCAGAGCAAGTGGCCCTGCTAGAGAAAGAGGCCCGGGAGATTACTAGCACCCAGAAATGAATCCGATCTTGAGAGACATCTTAAGGAAACCTGTACCATACTATGTTTCATTGATGCCCAGCGCCACATTATGTCATTTCAATTCTAGACTTGGATAGTTATGCATTGTCTTGATGATCATAATGAACCAAACTTTTGCAGATTATTCTTATAATATTACGGAGCCAGAATTCCGGGACTCTAACCCCCTGACACATCATACCGCAGCATACTTGCGTTTCAGATCGCTAGTCATCGCAGCCTTTCGGCCGTGACTAAACGTCTGTACGGGAACGTCCTTGGTCTGATCCATAGCATCTCCTTCAAACGACGAAGACGGAAACCGCCAGTCCTGACCCCTTTCCCCTTTCTTGAAATGCTCAATATCAATATGATTGAACCTCTCGTCCAGGGCCTCGGGGCCAAGATTTTTTAATAGGACTCTGTGATTACAGAACCCACACCAGAAATGCGACTGGCCAGCCAGGTCCAGCCGGTTATTACCAGCCAAAGCTGCGACGTGATATTCATGAATCCCATGCTGGTGCAGGTGGTGGGTATATGTGTCGGCTCGATAGAAAAGCCGCTCGCACAAGGCGCCTGTTTGCATATCGTGTTCTGTGCAGAACCAACTTGGCACACCGAGATGCTGGGAGCTCTCGTGGCGCTTCCAGTCGGCTTTGCTGCCAAAGGATTTGGCACAGTGGGGGAATGTACAGCCGTAGGGTCGTTCATGACGCTTCTGGTGTTTTCTGATGGTGTCTTTGGTTAGTACCCTGATAGGAATGTGGAAAAGGTTTAGGGTGGCTTACTTCATTTCACAACGGAGCCGGGTCTGCTTTGGGCACGCATCACATTGGAACCAGCCCCGCTTTTTGCTACCAGGATCTTGTGCGGTAACTTCGTTGTCATTGGATAACCGTTCCAAGGCCACCGAAAGCACCTTCTGCAGCATTTGCCGCTGGGGCTGGGAGAGCTGAGCAGCGTCATTTTCGAGGTCGATTCCCTCGTCAATAGTTTGACTTGATCCCCGCCCGCGGTGGTTCATCATCTTCGTCATGGCATTGATTAAGTTATTAGCTGCGTCTGCTACCGATCCATCGGGCCTTGTGATGCCGCGGTCACAGGACATATCTTGATTCGTTGCTGGCAACCCCAGGGAGCTAAAAGCGGGGAATTGAGAAGACGTCGAGTCTGCAAGCGGCGGCGTACTATGCTGAGGAGGTCTCGGCGTGGCAGCGCCAAATCTAAAGATATTAGGCCTCTCGTAGGACATGGAACCGTGTTCCTGCTCAAGATCGGTGGTCGACTGGGCGGACGCCTCGTCTTCTTCCACCTCCAATATCGACTCATCTCTTGAGCTACGCTCGTCGAAGCGCTGTTCTGGTTGACGGAGGATGAAAATTTCATACCAATCCATGGACCTATACAGAGATCAGTGCTCGGAACATTAACTGTCTCATCTCTAAACTCACTTTTTCAAGAGCGCCTCTCCATCCTCTTCATGATGCATCCGGTTCAGGTGTTGCTTGAAGTTATCGAGGCGCGGCCACCTCTTGTTCGGGCGCGGGCAGTTTGCCCCGAAACACAAGTACATCATCTTGGGCCCACGCTCGGGCTCTTTATTGTGAACGCATTTCTTATGACGGGCAAGATCGTTAATGGTGCCAAACCCGTCCTTCCGTGGGCAATTCGGCACGTCACATTTGAAGAGCTTTTTGTGGCGAGCCTCGTGTTTCCTAGTGAAATTAGTTTCCTACTATCACAATTCAAATGGCGATACAACCGACATACCTTTTATCCGAAGGACATTTCCCAACCCAGTTGCATGATGGATGCTCGCATCGCATTGAGACATCCTCAAACTGGCATGGCGAGCCCATAAACTCCAATGTGTAGGATAGCTCAGACACAGAGCCGTACTGGGGAGGATCAAACGAAGGCCCCGACTGAGTAGACGTATTCTCTGCCATGTCGGTCTGCGGGCTTGAGGAATCCACACCGGACGAAGAAGCCACAACTGATTGCGTTGCACAGCTGGTCCCACCGTATCCTGAATCAGCAGAGTGATAGCTATCCATATACTGACTCCCATTCTCGGAGGGCTCGCTATAGTGATGTTGCGAAAATCGGCAGTCCTGGTCCGGCGTCTGGGCAGGCATGTTCATATGCGAGATGGGAGAAGTGTCCGGCACACCGGTGGCTAGCAGCGGATTCCAGGCATCTTGGTTGCCCGTCACATAGGAATGAGTGTATTGGGAGTTATATAGGCCTCGGGGATCTGAAGCCCATTGGCTTAGGAGTGAGTGGTTAAGTGTTGGAACAAACGATCCGAGTTGCAGGTCTTGTAGCGGGTTTGCCGCATCGAAGGGAAGATTTGAGGACTTAGGGTCGGATAGACCATGTTCTTCGTGTCCAACCATGATTCCTTGGAGGATGTCTGTGGAGTAGTTCCAGTCCAGCTGTGTTTCCTGGGGTGGAGTTAGTATATTCTATCGATTCATTTGGAGGAGGGCCGCAGTGGTGCATCGAGTAAGCAGAGCACGAACCTCCATGGCTAAATGAGATGGTCTTTAATATTAAAAAACACAACGTGATAAATTTCGCAAAGTTGAGAGAGGATGGGCATCCAGTCAAATGGGAGGGGCAAAGTATTTAAAGGCTCACGATGCATGCAAATGTCAAACCCTACACGCGGAAGACACAATCTCCACACCCTCGCCCCGAGCCGGTTGACTTCACCACGCGATAAGTCATTCAAGGGTTGGAATGTGTTAAGGAAACATGCTGAATATGCTGACAAAGTATTTACACAAAAAGGAAGAAATTTTCTTGAAAAAAAAAACCCTCAAATATGAGAGGCAAAAGCTAAGACAAAAAAGTTCACCCTCGCGTGTTGCCAGCGTGGAATGCAACATGTCATCCCTTGATTGTACAGCCCCTTCACCCGGGTAAATATTAACCTGTACAGTGCGGTAAATAGGTGCTGCCATCTTCTATAACATGAGGCTGATATGTTAACATCTAATGAACTAACACTACGGAGCACCTTAATCCAGGTCTGATTCATGATCGGCGACACCTTCCCTCATCACCCGGGGCACCCGGGGTTGATTCAGCCCATTTCTAACACCATGTCAGATAATTGTGTAGATTATACGTATCACACACCTACCCCCACCCACATTGAAAATGTCGGTAGTCCCCCTGCACGAGGCATGTAAGACAAATCCAGCCCCTCATGGAGATCGTGAGATGAGTCTCTAAAGGGGAGGGAGCGCAAGGAAGTAAGGACCGGATTGGGCTATGACAGGACATACGATCGACATAGCTGATTGAAGATACTCGCCGGCCATGTTCGTGCCGCAAGAGACCAATGAGATAAATGCGCACGTTTATACGCGGTACATGCTATGCAGTTTCGGATTTAGGGGTCAAGGCATTGTCAAACTTTGAAACGAAAGTATTTGAATTTAAGATCTTGACCTGAGAGATGCTTCGTGTCTCTCGGTCACGTTTGTCTCGTTTGTCTCTTTTGTCTCATATGTCTCATACATCTCTTTGGTCCAGTTTGTCTCGTATCTCTCGGATCTTTGATCTCCACAAGTACTTTACCCTGCCACGACAGCCCGGCCGAGAAGGGACGCTAATGCATGCACGCCACATGTAAAATATAGGGTATTATTTCAAATGAGTACAGAAGAAATTGTACGCCACATACTACTTAAAAGTTGATTAGTAATACTTGATCAGTACTGGTATTACCAGCAAAAAAAAGCAAGTACATGCATATATACATTAGCCCCTTCTCGGCCGGGCTGTCGTGGCAGGGCATGTTCCTAGGAACCATGGAACCATGTCTTAAGTGGGACCAGCCTAGTACAGAAGAGGAAAAGCCAGAACATAAATCTGCTCTCTCATATGCCATGCACATCGCCGTTGAGCAAATTACGCTATTCGGTCTGAAACGGAATTCCTAAGCACCTGAGATATGTACAGAGACATTGAGAACACATAATAAATCATCATAGTCATCATTCCAGAAATGCACAAGATTGGAACCTGTTTACATAACTCTCCTGATACTAGAAAAATACAAGTACAGGAATTTCCTCTGGTGATCACGCGCCATCTTTTACGATGCAGCAGATGCGGAAGATTTGATCGCAGAACGGAGAAGGGGAATATACAGAAGTGAAAAAGAGGGGGCAAAAAAGGGAAAAGACCATCTCAAGGGAGAATCGGATCTATCATCACATTTGGGAGGGACATCTAGAAGAGTAGGTCGCAGAAGTGTAGGGGATGTTATACTCCATGGGTTGGCAAGCCGGGTAATTCTCATCCGGGTATAGAGAGGGATGGGGGAGAAATTGAGAGAGAGAAAACGAGGGCTGCATGAGATCTGCCTCCGAAGATTTCGATCTCGGAACGGCGTTATAAGGCGGTGGGTACGTCACTGAGTTCTGATGCAGGGGGTCGGCCTGGGCCTGGGAGGAATGGTGCGTAGTTTGGCCAAAATGATCTGTCGTGTGCGTGTATGCTGAGAACTGATCCGAGGCAAGGGAATCCGTCATCGACTCAGGCTCCATGGAAAGTTCGCCGCCAGAGATGGTGGAGTAATTTGTCAGCGGAACGTTGTTGATTGAGAACGCAGGGTTGGTTGGCGTGCTATTGTTTCCGATCGCATATTGCCGCTGCAGATGGGTGGGGGCCGTTTCGGGTCCGTCGTGTCTAGGGTGATATAGCGCGACAGAGGGATGGGTTGCGGCCGATGATCCGCGATTCGTCTCCACTTGGTTGGGGTTGACGACATGGTTTGGAGTGCTGCTCGGATTCGCTAATCGCAAAACGGGCAGAGCTAGTTGCTCCAGGTGTTTGCTAAGGTGGATTGACAACTTTCTCCACTCACTACAGACGTTTCCGCAGAAGCGGCATGGCTCTTGCTGGGGGGTTTGTGCGGTGTCATGCCGACATTCTTCGACCATCTGCCATAAGCGATCAAGCTCTTGCTCCCTTCGGCTATTCGGCACAGCCTCAGCATCCATAGTACTAGAGGCTAGGCCCGTCTTTTTGATCTTGGGCTCTGGCATTTTGTGTTCCCGCACCAAATGCTGAACGAAATTGTCCTTGCGGTAGCATTTGTGGTCGCACTCGGGGAATGTACACGTCCACCACTCCAGGTGCCGGTGTTTCTCGTTCTCATGCCGAACCCAGTCTGCTTTACGCTTGAATGACTTAGGCTCGGTGCATTGGGGGAATGTGCAAGTAAATGGCTGCACATCTTCCTGAACATGTTTAGACCAGTCGGATGGTCTATGAAACGTTTTCACTTCGAAGCAAATGGGGCACTCAAACCGGGCGGGAAGACGAGTGACTGGCGGAAGGGGCACTCCGGGAGGGAAGTGTGCCGCGGCCCCCGTGCCGTCACCTGGAGAATGCTGTTGCCCATGTCCATGGCTGAAACCTCTCACTTGAAACTGGATATATCCTGCCTCGGGAGAGTTGGAGGCCTTGGGGTCCTGCAACAGAGCGGGTTGCCCTCCCTGAACAGTGCAATATCTGCCAGACTTGCACGTGTGGTTGGCAGCTGCAATAGAGTGCTTCTGCTGCAAATCAATCAAGATCTTGTATCGACGGTGTTGCTCACGTGCTAGGCGGTGAATCAAAGCCGGTTCAAGCCTTGGGTTCAACTGCATGATCTGCGATTTGAACCCTTCGATTGTTGACACTGGGAGGCTCTGAGCAGCAGGGAAATCCATAACCACGCCATCGTTGTTATCATTGTTGCTGGTGTCAATATCATTCTCAACTCCAGCGCCTCCGGTTTCAGGGCCCAGAGGTGTACTTGTGGGTGCTTGGTCAGCATCCGAACTGACTCGAGGCGATGTGATGTTTGGAACCGGTGGTCCACTGTAAGCGGTCATAGGATTCATTAGCCCGGAGTTACTTGACTGAGGGAGCTCGCTTCTGCTTCGACCTCGGCCCTTGAATTGGATGTTCAAAGAACTCCTCTCCTGATTCGGTGAGGGTGCAGACGACACTGCTCGGACAGGCTGACTACCCCCAACAGCGGCCATTTGACTGGTCATTGAAAGAATTGCATTGCTCAGGCTTGGCGACCGCGAATGACGACGATGCAAGAAGCCATTTCGTGGTGAGAAGCTTGGCTTGGCCGGTGAGTCCTCTGCATCACGCCGCGAAAGCCCAGGGTAGCTTTTAGATTGGCCAATGGAAAGGTCCGACGCTTGTCGCTTCAGAATCGAGGATGCCTGCAGAAATTGACGTTTGAACAGACTGGTACGTTTCTTGGGTTGTTCGGCACAGGAAAGGTTTTCGAGAGCTGCACCAACATTGATGATGCTATTGTTGTCAATTGTTGCAGCGAGCGATGCCGTTTCGAGATCCCGCACACGTCTGTTAAAGGCTATCATAGCTTCGGTAGAGCTGTCCGGCTGCATCGCTTGCGATCTAGGTGTCGAATCGCGAGGGGGGTCATGCCAGGGGTAAAGATGGATACTTTCCTCGGCTTTAGTCGGTGACACAGGTAAATAGACCTCAGGGGCGCTGCGATCATATCTGCCAAGTTCATATACATAAGCTGAGGGCTCGTCGGAATGTGTGCCAATGCTTGCTTCATCCTCGCTGAGGTTATCGCTGCTTTCGTGAACCAGTGCCCCGGGTCCAGGGAATGATGCGTCTCGGGTGCGAGATTTCAGGTTGAAATAATCTTCTTGTTTCAAGGGGGGATCCCCGGTACTCTTTGCTCGAGATCTCCTGGGAACTTGGTGTGGGCGTGGATGCGGTGGACTAGGCGAGTCCCCACCGGCGTCACTGTTGGCTGCACTCACAGAAACAGACCAGTGAGAAATGTTCTCATTTTTCTCGTTCCTTTCCCGCTGAATATGGATGTCGTTAGGACTTGGCACGAATTCGTCTCCGCAGGACCTTGAATCAATGCCGGCTAGATGGATTGATGAGCTTGGAATCCATCCGCCGTCCTTGGATCGCTTCATGGGAACAGACGAAACCGAGTGACGATCGCCATCTTCTTCGACTTGTAGCTCGCTTGAATTAGCAGATAGGTGTGCGAAGGACTGACTGAAAATTCCTTGGGGTGACGTGCTACGTTCCTCGGGCGAATCGCCTCGAGTGAAGGTTGTAATCTCGACGAGGGGGCTTCTTCCCCTGGTTGCACTCGACGTCAGCTCGGTGGTCAACACCTCGTTGGTCAAGACACTGAGTCCCAATGGCTTGGCACTTGCGTCAAAAACAACGAGGCCAGACTGATACGAGGTGGGAATTGGTTGCTGTGTGCTAGCATTGCTATGAGGTTCTAGACCTGCCAGCGTGGATGATGAATTCGAGTTCGGGCGGTTGTCAGAGCTCTTCCACTGAAAAACATTAGGTGCCATGGACGAACCCCATGCCGGATCGATAGGCACGCTGTCCTCCCCAATGCTGTACGATGGCAGTTTTTCATTTTGCCAGGTCGAAGCATTTGCCAGTTCGATGTCTTTTGGTTCCACGAAGACACTTGCATCAGAAAAGGGGGAGGTACAAGTGCTTCGGTCCGTATAATCATTTGTTCTCGGGTCCAAATAGCCCTCAATTGTGGAATCGATCCGAACATCCTCGTGTGGGGATGAGCCAGGTCCCGCAATGTGTCCAGGACTCCCCCACAATGGCGTTCGTGTTAATCTAATGGCGCTGGTCTGAAAGATGATCTCCTCTGGATCGGATGCGGCTGATAGGTAAGGATCCGGAGCATATCGATCTTGGGTCGCATTTGCTGGTGATTGCCCCTGGGCGCTGAATGGGGAGGCGCGCGACATGCTCATACGGCGGCCAATTAGCTTGAAATTGACCGCGAGAACGGGAGGTATCAATTTAAGATGATTAAAAGAACATCAAGTGGGGATGTTCGGTATAATGAATGCCAGCAGTCCCGTGATTATATTGGAGTTGGTTGCCCCGTTGTGTTGTCCTAGTGTCCTAGTTTGGTCGACGCACCCAAAGTACACAAGGTCCAGATTGCGACTGGACAGACAAGGTCCCAGATAGTTGAATCTGATAATCAAGAATCAATGAGTAAATGAAGGAGGAAGGCTAAAGGTGGGGGAAAAAAAAGAAGAAGCGATGGGGGCCGAAGATCAGTCGGAGATGAGGGGGACAGCTGAACAAGCGCCGGGCGCATCCCTCCACGTCCAATTTTATGCAGTACTTAGAAGAATAACACCCATAAGTGTCAGGGTGCGGGCTGGCAGGACGGTATGATAGGAGATGACTGGCAGGGACAGGTCGTAACAGATCAGATTCACATTGACAGGCAGGTACAGGCAGGGGCAGGCTAATATACAAGACGTAGCTCGAAGAGCTACAACAGGATCTAGAACTGAAGTTCAAGATAAACAGGTCGG